TTTGCTAGAAGGATGCGGCGCCTTGGACCACTCGGCCACCTCTTCTTGTTGTTGTACTTTTGTTTTCTTGGTCTGGAGTTTTGTTTGTGCTCTTTCGGACAGCAAAGGATCATTTGCTGGCAAGGATTTTATATGGACTGTGCTGGCACTTCATTTCTCCAGCTGTGGGCTAGTGAATATACAAAAAGACCCTGGTGTTTTCGCGCTGCCACTTTGTAATACGAAAAAAACAGATATGCTTCCATTATTTGTGCGTGCCTACTCTCAAGTATTGTTGACACTGCCAAATCAATTTCAGGAAAGCAATTGATAAACATGCGTTTGGGCAGGACTTTGTCAAGAAGGAAACGCTGTGGAAAATGGTGCCGCAATTGATTATGCCTTTCCTTTGATGGAATATGATGAACACTTTTTTTTCTTTAAGTGTAAGTGTGTTCGCGACAAATCGATGGAAAGAATGTAGTCCTCTCTTTTGTCATCTTGCCAAATCGATTATATACTTTGTCGAAAGCAAAAAGCATGTCCTTTTCACTCAAGGTGATCAATATGAAGTGATGGACAAAGTACAACTAATCTTTCCTTTGCACTAACACAGCCAATAAAATCCTTGCCAACGGATAATTCTGCGCTATCCAAAAGCACACAAGCGAAACCCCAGACCAAGAAAACAAAAGAACGACAAACACAAGAAGAGGTGGTCGAGTGGTCCAAGGCGCCGTATCCTCCCAGGAAACTTTGATTCCTCATGGATTCAAAGCACTGCGGTCTGTTCTAAGAACAGTCGTGGGTTCAAATCCCTCCCTCTTCTCTTTCCCTTTTGCTTATCTTAATACGTTCTATGCTGTTATTGTTTCTTTTCCTCCAGTGCGACCTCTGCGCCTCCGAGGAGGCAGCTAAAGACCGCCTGTGGCTTCTCTTTCAATTACCCATATCTTCCGCCCATTTTATGTTTCATCGGGCGGAATTATTTGTGCCACGCCACCAATTAATTTTTGCGTTTCATTTCGTTTTTACTCAAACATTCATGATGTTCATAAACAAAAGTTACAAAACGAAGGATGGTAATAACGCTATAGGGTGAATGACACAACGTTAAACAGAGAGAACATGCTACACTTATTTGTCTTCAGGTTTCTATAGGTTCAAGATAAGTATTCTCGTGTACTCACTCGTTCCTTATCTCTGCCTTCTTTTTTTATTCTCTTCAATCCATTTCATCTTTGCCTCTCACCGTGAAAGAAAAATATACATTTTTCTTTTTTTTCCTTCTCAGTAACCTTTTTTTTTAAAGACCCGCCCATGCCTTAGCTTTAAACTTCTTCTCTACGGAACATACACATCCTTGGCAACAAAATACTACATCACATCGCAAACATACAACAACCACAGCGAAACGGAAGAGGCTACAGCAGCGCTGGAAACTGTATGATTCATCCCAGAATCAAACTAATATGCAGTCTACTGCAAGAGCAGGCGTTAATTTGAAATTCACTGCCTTCCAATAATCCTTTTCTTTCTATTTTTTTCTTCTGGTAAGCATATCGTAGTGACATGGTTATTATTATTTTTCATTCTGGCGGAGTGAATGAGAGCGAATTTTACGCCTCCATGTCTGCGGACGTGCAAAAATGGAATCTTTGCACTTTCCCTCCTTTATTTCGAATGCCACCAATAGACCTTTTTTATTTTTGTTTTTTTGGCACTTCATCCCTCCACTTCAATACTCGCTGCCGAAAACAATTGTTAGACTATCTACGTTCTCTCAACATTGCTATCTGGTACATATAGAGAGTAAGAATTGATTTCTTCATCCTCTCTGCCTACAACCTGACACTTAACGGTCTGTTCCTGACACTAATCGTTTCCTGTATATATATATTTTTTCATCTTCCTTGATCAAATAGTGAGACAATTCAAGTTGACGGACCATTTTACCTCCAAAGACGAACAAGAATGAGAATGTGGCAAACAAAAATACGAACAATACCAAGAAGTTACTTCTCTGACAAGCAATTAGGGCTAAAAACTTTTTTTTTTTTTTTTT